GAGTCAGCCTATTGCCCCCAACAATCTGAGTCCTCATTTTGCCCACCTCAGAAGGATGGAAGGCTCAGTCAGCCTTGAGCCTGGTGGGATTTGAACTGCCAAATTGTAGGCAGCTGGCTGCAGAAGTAGCTTGCAGTACTGCACTCTAACCACTGCACCACAGAGGCTCATGTATAATACAAGCTATTTATAAGAATAAAATAAAATTCCATAAGAAGCTCAGCAGGGAAGCTACTGTTTTGTTACCATCTTAGCTCTGTCCCTACTACCATTATACCTATCTAAACATTTCCTATTGATGAATATTTAGTCCTCTTAAAATAGAATAGAATTCTTTATTGGCCAAGTGTGATTGGACACACAAGGAATTGTCTTGGTGCAAATGCTTTCAGTATACATAAAAGAAAAGATACATTCATCCAGAGTCAAGAATCATAAAGTACAACACTTAATAATAGTCATAGATACAATAAACAATCAGTCATACTAGGAAACAGTCAATATAGATTGTAAGGATACAAGCGACAAAGTTAAAGTCATACAGTCATAAGTGGGAGGGGATGGGAGATAAGGAGTGATGGGAAGATTAATAGTAATAGTAGCGCAGACTTTGTAAATAGTTGGAAAGTGTTGAGGGAATTATTTGTTTAGCAGAGTGATGGCATTGGGGAAAAAGCTGTTCTTGTGTCTAGTTGTTCTGGTGTGCAGTGCTCTATAGTGTTGTTTTGAGGGAAGGAGTTGAAACAGTTTATGTCCGGGATGTGAGGGGTCTGTAAATATTTTCACAGCCCTTTTTTTTCACTTGTGCAATATACAGGTCCTTGATGGAAGGGAGGTTGGTAGTAATTGTTTTTTCTGCAGTTCTAATTATCGTCTCAAGTCTGTGTCTGCCCTGTTGGGTTGCAGAACCAAACCAGACAGTTATAGAGGTGCAGATGACAGACTCAATAATTCCTCTGTAGAACTTTCTCAGCAGCTCCTTGGGCAGTTTGAGCTTTCTGAGTCAGTGCAGATGAAAGCTGCTTATGATGAAAGCTGCTTGCCTGAATTCCTTGCCTACAAGATTATTCATTTTTATATACAGATAATAAGTCTTTACTAGTAGTACTAGCTTTGGACTGGATTTTATATATTTATATATATTTGTTTTATTAAGTTTTCGTGGCTATTTATATGTATGGTATTCAGCTTTGTTTGGGTATTCTCCCATGTCATTATAGTTGTGCTTTTAACGTTGCTACAACTTTAAAAGCACAACTATAATGACGTGGGAAAATACCCAAACAAAGCTGAATACCATATATGTATGTATGTATGTATCATATATATGTATGTATGTGTATATATATATATACATACACACAGGTTATATATATATATATATATATATGTGTGTGTGTATCTTTGGTTGTTCGGGTTTTCTCCCGCGTAAGATTCGAAACCCAAACTCTGGCTCAGATACGTAGATGACACCTTCATAATCTGGCCACATGGGAAAGAAAAACTGAACAACTTCCTCACACACCTCAACAGCCTACACCCCAAAATACAATTCACCATGGAAACAGAAGCCAACAACCAACTTCCCTTCCTAGATGTCTTGGTATACAAAAGATCCAATGGTTCCCTAGGACACACCATCTACCAGAAGAAAACGCATACTAACCGCTATCTACATGCACTCTCACACCACCACCCAGCACAGATCAATTCCGTAGCCAAGACACTCATCTCCAGAACAAAATGCTTAGCCGATGAACAACACCAAAAAACCGAACTACACACTCTCACCAACGTACTTACAGCCAATGGATTCCAAAGAAAGAAGATTACCCACCTAATCCAAAAAGAAACCCCAACCAAAATCCAAGACAGAGAACAAGAAAACGGCAAAGCCCTCCTCCCATATATAAAAGGCACTACAGACAAAATTAGCAAGATCCTCCAAAAACACAACATCAAAACAGCATTCTGCACAAACAGAAAAATATCCACCATCCTAAGAAACCCCAAAGACAAAATCGAATTAGAAAACCAAGGAGTATACGAAATCCCCTGCACTGCCTGCCCTACCACATACATTGGACAAACTAACAGAAGAATAAGTGCACGCATTGAAGAACATAAGAACTCAATCAAAAAAGAAGAAACGACCTCTTCCCTGGTCCAACACCTCAAAGCCACAGGACATGAAATTGATTTTAAAAATACCAGAACTATCGCCAAAACCGAACACTTCAACAGCAGAATAATCAGAGAAGCCATAGAGATAGAAAAACGCCCACACAGCATGAACAAACGAGATGACACCTCCCGCCTTCCAGCCATTTGGAAACCCGCCCTCATAAACAGACGAGTACCTAACATGAAGAAGGACACCAGACCCACACCCATGAGAGCCACACAAGATGCCACCACCACACTTCCATGTAGAAAACAGACTCTCACCCACTCAGAAGATGAGACACGACCATGGACCAGAAGCTGCACTACAGCTGCATCACTACCCACTTCAAACCCCTCCGAGCCATACATGAAGCAAACCGACACCCACTATGAAGATGCAGCAGGACCACGAACTAGAAGCCAAACAGCAAGATCACAACTCACCATCTCAAATCCCCCAACAACTAAGACTAACCGGAGCACAACCAAGCCCCCACCTGAACAGAACACACCTCCAACCAATCAGAACACGGCTAACCCCCCAACCAATCAGAATACAACCAAACCCCCTACCAATGAGAACACACCCCCACCCAATCAGAACACAGCCAAGCCCCCACCCAATCAAGTCCCACCCCCACTGGCAGTTAAAAGGAGGAAGCAGCTGCAATCTCACATTACTCTGAGAAGCACAGAGCCGGAGACAGAAGCCTGAAGATGATGAATGAGACTTCATCGAAACGTTGCCTAGATACTTCGAATCTTACGCGGGAGAAAACCCGAACAACCAAAGATATATAAATACCCGCGAGAACCTCAGAAAACATATATATATATATATATATATATATATATATATTGCACGCACATGTGCGTGCACACACACACATATATGTGGTCATACTAATTCCTTTAGCTTAGATATTGTAGCCCTACTAGACCTCTCTCTCTCTCTCCCCTCCTCCTTGTTTCTCTATCTCTTCTTCCCTCCTTCTCTCTGTCATCGACAGTGAATTGATGAAAATCCATCTGTTATCTTAGCTCTTTCCCCTGAAGCTGACAAAAAGGGCAAGATGGTAGTTGTTGGTATGTACCATCTTGCTATTTTAACCCTACCTTTCGGACATTTCAGAGGTGGTATTCAGCAGGTTCTGACCAGTTCTGGAGAACCGGTAGCAGAAATTTTGAGTAGTTCAGAGAATGGCAAATACCACCTCTGACTGGAGCTTTTACAATATCCTTCCCCTGCCACGCCCACCAAGCCACGCCCACAGAACCGGTAGTAAAAAAATTTGAATCCCACCACTGAGACACTTGTAAAAAATATTATTCAGTACAAATCTCCCAAGCAGTAATAAGTAACTGATAGACACAGCTGGTTTGCAAGAACGATCAATGACTGAATCATTCAAGTAATAAACCAACACAAGTACTAATTCAGAAAACTGACATTAGGATGGTTACCCATTTTAAATACATGTAAGATATAATAACTGACACTGTGATATTGCAGAATTAATTTTTAAAAAGTTCAAATAGGAAAGACAAGGATAAATTTCAAAAAATGTTGGATTTTGGGCTGAAAATCCTTTTGTCCCTAGCCACTTAACCACTAGAAAGTATATTCTTATCCACAGCAATATTTACATGAAAGAAGAATAAAAAGTTCAAATCAGCAGATACTGCATCTGCCATCTTGCTTTTTTTAAATCTCAATCCTCCAGACACTACTGCCTGATCAAGGTCAAATTACGCATTGTTATTAAATATAGAATATATGTAGATTAATTCAAGTAGAAAATAAATATTTTTTGGATTAAAATTTCCAGTAGAACATTTAATTAAGACCTTTAAAATTGGAGAAGCACTTTGTGAACTTGCGAATGAATAGTGATCTCTGATGAAGAAACATCTGCAAGAAAATATCTCAGAGAATACAAAGGACCCCACAAAGGCACTATACTCATTACCTTATAATTAGCCAAAAATATGAGCCCCATGAACATGAAGGGAGGGATGTATATTTAATTCTGTGCTCTGCCTTTTCCGAATATAGTGAACAAGGACTACAAGGTGTTTAGGAAATTTCCTGTATATCTTAACTGCCACTTAATCTTTTGGATATTTGCAAATCACTTTTGTCTGCTAACTTTCTCTGTAAAAGTTGATCTGTATGTCACCACTTGTAAATCAAAAGACAGCTAGTTTGATGTAGTGGCTAAGATTAGTACCTGGGAGCCTACAGGGTATCCCAATCTTGCCTTGGGCACAAAGCCTATTGGGTAACTTTGAGCCAAGGCAGTAAGCAATGATACCTCACTTCTAAAATCTTCCCAAGAACACTGCAGGGACTAGTCCAGGCATTTGCCAAGAGTCAGAACTGATCGGAAGGCACACACGCATACACACACAAAGTATTCAGCTAATATGAGCGTACTTTACTCACTCATTTGGAAAAACAGCAAGCAAAGTCATGAATATTAACCCTCTGCCCTTTTTAAGGTATAGCAGGAATTCCTTCAGGTATAGCAGCAATTCCAGTGATACCTTTCACAGATACCTCAAATGCACATAAGACGTTTTGATTATCTAATTTATAAATTACAATTTAGTTAATATATGGTGATGATTTGCAAATTCAGGATTCCATAATTGTATTAATTCAGATTAAGCATTCTCTTGTCAAAAGATACAGAAAAGGGAAGTCTGTAGCACAATCCAGCAATTACTTAGAAACACCACTTGCTTGTGCGGTAGCGAAAGCGCTCGCCTGTCCTGACCTAACCATTTCACAAGGGCTCGTTCCGGGGACTTCGGGGGTGTCACTGCCTTACCAAGCGGCGAAGAAGGTGGTGCCGGTCTGCAGTTCGGCGAGCTAAACCTTCTTTTTCGGGACGTTCCCGAGGCCTCGCTGCTGGTTTGGGGGAAGGCCGCGTCTCCTGTTAGTTAGCCGCTTACTTTCGATCTTACCGACGGCGTCAGAGAACAGGACTGGCAGCTCCTCCGCCTCCCACCGCAGCGGAAGGGGGCCTCTAAGCGCCAATGCAACTCCGCCTCCCGCCTTGGCCTGAGCCAGGTGGAGCGGCGTCGAGCTTCCCCTTGGTTGGCATTTTGCTGGATTACTAATGAGGCAGAATACAGTATAAGCGGCCTGACAGGAAAGCAAGGCCCGAATGTGTCCGACTGCCCTCCGGGTATATTCAATAAATGAAAAAGACTCTAACCTATTCTCAATTTATTTTCAGGCATACTTGTCTAAACCCATGTTGTCAGCCTCAGAAATATTAAGATGTGTGGATTTCAACTCCCAGAATTTCCCCACCAACATAACTAAGTGGGGAATTCTGGGAGGTGCAATTTGCAGTTTAACGCTCCTGAGGTTGAGAAACACCTGTTTAAGAAAGCCTATGCTCGGAAGAAATGGCACTGAAGTGTAGAAGTTTCATTGGGCTGCAATATTTGCAGCCTAATTGCTCTGGTTGATCAAGAAAATTAATAGGGCTGGATTTTGTTAGGACTTAGATAAAAATCTGGTGGAAAATCCCAGGAGTCTTAGATTTGGGGAGTACAAAGAGAATTGCTTTACCATCCCTGCCATAGAAGCTAAAGGGTCTGTCTAAAAAGTTACACCAATTCAAAGGAATCTAACTTTATGACTTCCAGTTGCTTGCTCAGAACTTAATGTTGATTTATTTTAATGTGGCTAGTTGGTGTGCAAACGTGTACCTAGGGCTATGCTTAGGACCTTTATATAAACTCATTTATATAAACTTATATACTCATATTTTTGCCAGGTGCATTTCAATACTATGTCCATATCCTTTAAGGCAGGGGTCTTCAAATTTGACAGCTTTAAGACTTGTGGACTTCAACTCCCAGAATTCCTCCTCCGGTCATGTTAGGTCAGGAGTTCTGGGAGTTGAAGTTCATAAGTTTTAAACTTGCCAAGTTCAAATCACTTTGCTTTCGGGAGAAAGGGGAAGGAGGAGCATCTGGCCAAAGAGCAAAAATATGCTTCAATGTTTTAAATCATTGGCTGCATTTTGGTTCAAGGGATTAAAATTACTATATTAAGACATAAGTCCCCTCCCAACTATTTAGATTTTCCATCCTACCTTGTGCACCTGGTTACTGGACTGGTAATTTCACTGGACAAAAAAAATGTTCAAAACATTAAATTAATACAAATACAGTAAGAAGAAAGTCCCTAAAGTTCTCCAGTAAATACCATTAAGCTCCCTGAGATTTGTTTTTGTGTAAAAGTTTACCGATCTAATATATAGTTTCAGCTATGTTAGTGATACAGGCAAATACTCAACTAAATTACTTTGAAGTTCCATTTTGGAGATGCATTTCAAGTGCAATCACTTCATCTCAATCTGACATCCTTTCAGAAAAAAGCTTTTATTGTTCCTTGCGTTATCTGTTGATTTTAGTTACATGCCATTCCACTTCCAGAGACATAAACAGGTTGCAACAGAAACATCTCTCCCCAAATACTGCCATTCTTCATTTGTGATCTTCTAGACAGAAAAAAATATTGAGGCAATCTTTTTTGTTTGGTAGGATTAGAAGCAATCTGGAAGCATCTTCACTGACTTGATTCATTCATTTTTGTAAGCCATAATACGATTTATTTTATTTTGGACTGGCACATTGTATAAATTTGACACTTTCCCCCAGTTTCATTTAACCATAGCCCAAACAAAGCCCAACAACTTACTATTTCTGACATATTCTCATGATATCACTTTCATCCCAACCTAATGCATATTGTATACATTGTATTTTTAAAACAGTTTTCTGCTTGACTATGTAGCAAGTCCAGCAAATTTTACTATGTGTACAGTCTGTCATACTTCACTGATTTTTTGACAATCAGTTGATCCCTAGAAGTGGGATAACCCAGCATCAATTGTCCATATTAGCTAAGCGCAGGCATGCCTCGTCCCTTCTGATCTCTGGATACTGTCTCCCTGGGAAATAGAGCAGTCAAGATTTTTTAAAATCAGGCTTTCCTTATTTACTTGAAAACTTTCTGAGGCAGTCTTAAAGATGCTGATCAATAATGCTAATAGGCAACTGAGCATTGAATCAAAAGAGGATTAGCTTTCTTTCTGCCACTTTAGGACACACATATATACACACAACCCAAAAACTGTTGTCATAATGTTTTCAAATACAAGCTTAGCACTAAATTCATGTTCAGAAGAAATTTTTCTAATAACTGCCATGCCTGAGATGATAACTTTTCCCCACTTACCTCATAATCCTATGCCTGTTAGCTGTTATTTGCTCTTTTTTTAAATGTGAACTTGATGCAGTTGCAAAAGAACATCAAACATATTTAAAAAACAACAACTTGACTTCAAAGCTGACATTCATGCAAGAATATTGCATAGTACACAAAACTGCCTACATCCCATTTCATCAGCTGTAAAGAGGTGTATGGGATTTAAACGGTGCAACCTTCTATCAATATATACGATACCGGGCCATATCTAACAAAATGAAATTCAATGTAGAGAAAAGTAAAGTCCTACACTTAGACAAGAAAAACCAAAAGTACACATATAGACTGGGTGAAACCAGGCTCAATAGCAGTAACTGTGAGAGGGATCTTGGAGTCTTAGTGAACAACCAGATAAATATGAGCCAGCAGTGTGCAGCAGCAGCCAAAAAAGCTAATGCAATCCTAAGTTGTATTAACAGAGGGATACAATCAAGATCAAGGGAGGTACTAATACCACTCTATAAAGCCTTAGTAAGACCACACCTAGAGTACTGCATCCAGTTTTGTTCACCAGATTATAAAAAAGATGTTGAGACTCTAGAAAAAGTACAGAGAAGAGCAACCAGGATGATTAGGGGACTAGAGGCTAAAACATACAATGAACGGTTGCAGGAACTGGGCTTAACTAGCCTAGTAAAGAGAAGGACCAGGGGAGACATGATAGAGGTCTTCCAATATTTGAGGGGCTGCCACAGGGAGGAAGAGGTCAAGCTATTTTCTAAAGCACCTGTAGGCAAGACGCGGAATAATGGATGGAAACTGAAGAAGCAGAGATTTAACCTGGAAATAAGGAGAAACTTTCTGACAGTGAGAACAATCAACCAATGGAACAGCTTGTCCTCGGAAGTTGTGGGAGCGCCATCACTTAAGACTTTCAAGAAGAGATTGGACTGCCATTTGTCAGAAATGGTGTAGCGACTCCTGCTTGGGTGGGGGGTTAGACTAGATGACCTACAAGGTCCCTTCCAACTCTGATTATCTGTTTATCTGTTATCCGTTAATATGACCTATTAATATAATAGCAGCTATCATCACAATGTGGACCCATACCTGTAAGCGAGTAGGAAACTAACATGTTCAAAGGGATGTGTCTTTCCTTTGCAGCATCCTACAGTCCTAAGCTCTTTCAACTGGATTTCTACCAACTGGGAGGAATGGCAGGAGGCCCAATTCTTTATCCACCACATCTCTATTCTAATGAATGCTTGTGTAGGGTTAGAGATGTAGAAATTTTGATGTCTTCTATTCTACTTCTTCCAGTTTGGGGGGATCAAGGGTGAAGGGCTTCTGTAATGCTTGGATTGAATTTTGGCAGGTGATGGAAACTGAATGTTTGGCCATCAATTCCCATTCCATGTTAATACAAATATTTGGTAGATGTTTTCCTGCTGGTGGTGACGTTTGTTGACAGCAGCCAAGCCAAGGGAATCCACCTATTCTTTTTCCTAAGCTTCTCAGCATAGAAATATCAAACACTATTTCTCCTTAATTGCTCCATTCACTTGCCATTTTCTTTCATGTATTTTAATTTCAAAATTATATTAAAGATGCTTCTTACTAATATTTCATGTATAATTGAAATATTGAGAAATATAAACCATAACCTGTTCAAAATAATGCCTATATTAGCTTAGTATTTATAACAGATTTTGCATGGTTTGTTTTCGTTATTGAGCAGTAAAAGAAAAGTTAAGTACAAGTCTAAATTATGTTTTATCTCAAAGGCTTCCAAATGAGTATAAATATTCCCTTAGTATTTCTCCTCCATTATAGTGCAAGGCTTTTGTGCAGATTTTTTTGGTTTTGATTCTTCCAAGTTTTGATAGCTACTACCTGAGTTGTATAATACACCGAATAATAAACCATCCAATTGTAATTTAGATCCTGCATGTTTATTGTTCAGTGTATCATGCAAACTCAGAAAATTGGGATAATGAAGAAACTCATGTATAAGTCTGTCATGTAAATTGAGATATTTGTTTGTTTCTGGAGTCTTGAGGATTGAAGTCCACACTTGCCAAGTTACCAATTTTGAAATATTCTGGGGATATAGCCCAATTTTGTTATTGTTAGTATTGGCATTAATTTGATTTATATGCTGTTTTTCTAGCCAGGGAGTGCTCAGTGAGGTCTGAGTCTTTCTTGCTACATATGTAGTTATACTTGGCAGATTGTATGACATCAGATTGCAACTACAGTACATAAATAGGGAATGAGTTATTTCTATAACCCTTGCAGTTGCAGTCATATTTTTACTCTTAAGCCATCATCCAGTCTTGTTAAGTCATTTCTACATAAACATTTAGTTTTCAGCAACTTCAAGTAGATATCTAAAAATATAATCAATTTGTGTTGCTATGTTTGTTTATGTGATTTCTATTTCCCCATGTAAATGCATAACTGATAAAGGACAAATTCACGTTTCTAAACATTCAGAGACAAGTTCCCACAAGCCAGACTGACCCAGTTTGTCTTAAGGAAATTTGTCTCTGAGCAGAAATGTCCATCCTAGCATTAGAGAATAGATTACATTGTATATTCATTGTGTTTACATTGAAGTGTATACACAATATACATTGTATATTCACTTCTAGATGTACTATTAGGCTGTAATGCAAATATTAATTATGTAAACTAATCGCACTATGATTTGTGAAAGAGAACTTGTAGCTTTGGAATCATTAAAATATCTGTAGGTTTGAGAAAAAGGAAGTTGTCAT